CACACACACACACACTCACACACGCGCACACACACCATAAATAAATGTAAAAAAAAAAAAAAATTTAAAAAAAAAAAAGAATTTCAAGTCCTAAAGGAAAACAACTTCCAACCCAGACTGATGAACCCTACAAAACTATCTTTCAAAATTAAACGAGCAATAAAATACTTCCATGACAAAGAACAACTACAGAAATTCATGAACACCAAAACAACTCTATAAAGAGTTAAGATGTTCTAGAAAGAGAGAAAAAGACCACAATTCCAATAACAATAGAAAGAAGCCACCAAACAGACAAGCAAATAAACACAGGGAAAAGTAGGGAACAAACAGCAGGAAAATAACACGACAAAGAAAAGCCAATACAAATCACTTATAACCACCAATATAAATGTCCTAAAATCACCAATTAAAAGAAATAGACTGGTAGAGTAGATCAAGAAATAAATCCATGGGGCTGGGGAGATGGCTCAGTGGAATAAGTGCTTCCCTGGCAAGCTCAAGGGCCTGAGTTCAATCCCTGGTTCTGCCAAAAAAAAAAAAAAAAAGGAAGAAAGAAAGAAAGAAATCCAACAATATACTGTATACAAGAAACACATTTAATGCTAAAGGAAATTTATAGGCTGAAAGGCAAAAAATAGGAAACAATATTCCTTGTGCCAGGAACTCAGAAAAAAAGCAGGGGTAGCTGTTCTGTTCGTAGAAAAGGTTAACTTAAAACCAAGAATAACTGAAATGGTCTGTGTTTATCAGATTCTCAAGGATGGCAGCATTCCAATGTCATTTGAACCCAGTGGGAATTTACAGGTTGCAGCAAGCATGTAGCAGAAGCAATCAGCAACCATAAGGAGGTCATTCTCATCCCCCCACTTAGAAGGCACATGCTTTATGAGGTCTCTTACTATTTATGGCTAATTATAAGTCATTAAAGTTTTTCTTTAGAAAAAAAAAACAAAACAAGAACGATCAAACAAGATAAATAGGGGCCAGGGAGATGGCTCAGTGGAATAAATTCTTCCCTGGCAAGTGCAAGTGCAAAGGAGTGAGTTCAATCCCTGGTTCCATCAAA